GTTTCTCAAACTTGTTCAAAAGATACATTTGTAAATTGTTTTCTGAAATTCTGTGTCTTTGAATAGTTGGAGCAAAATAACTACCGAGCCGAGTTAAACCATTTCGGCACTGGGCTTCTGGTGCTTACGTCGGCCGCCCGGCGTACAAAACAGTATCTTAGGCCAAGTCTTTGTGAAAATGTAAGAAAAGAGGCCTTGCAGTCCTGTCCTGCCGATAACCTTGTTGTCCCGATTAAACTTTGTTACCCAGGCGGTATGATCTCGAAAATATGAGTGGCAGCATCTCGATACCCTTTTTAAACGACAAGGTTTGATTTGCCGATTCCGAGTTTCCAGTGCTGAAGCCGCCGACACACCAAGTGTTGACGTACCTTCGGCACTGGAGATCTAGGACGGAAGCCGCCTCACCTCTGTATACCGAGTGCTGAGAAAGGAACCCGTAACTTCGGTACTTGCATTATTTTCACCCCAAATACACCAATTCTTACATTGTTTATCTGACATTTCCAACTCCGATTACCTGCCGCGCCGTACGGAAGGATGCTGTTCAACCCCATTGTCGAATGGAATCGACCGCAAAGTGGGCGTGGCGCGGAATGCTGGTCACCCATTGGTCGCCGCTAGGCTATGTGGATGTGAAATTGACGCTTGCCCCTCCCCCTCCACCACACATATTGCAGCTGAAATGGTGGGAAATTAAAACGGTCCAGTTCCCGACATCGTGGCTGCTCATAATAAAAATAGCCAGTCTCCCACCAGAGAGTTTCCCTGTTGTAACATTCTTCCCCATTCACGAGTCCCCGCCATGCCGACCCACCTATTACCGTGTTTACACACAACAATTGTTTCAAAACAGGAGCCGCTTCGAGACGTTATTAGCGTTTTTACAGCCGGGAACAATGCAACAACAACTTCGCAAGTGCCCGACAACGAGGAGAAAATAAACAAATCTAACTTGAACAGTTGCTGTAAATCTTTCTCGACTATTTTTGAAGCGGGTAAAAAATTCTCATGAACTCTATATGCCCAAAGTTTTAGACAAGCCAGTTTGCCGCGTTGTAATAAATGTAGGTTTTTTTGTAGGTTTTTTTTTTGTATTGGTATCAATTTTTACACTTTTGTGTAGCGTATTGGATGTTGCCA